GATCACTTGAGGCCAGGAGTTCAGGACCTAGACGAGGGTGATAAGAGGGTGTGTGAATTGGAGATGAGTCAACCTAGGCCTTTCAGTTGAATGACATAAGTGGGGTTATCTTAGTCTGTCTTGCCCTAGGCTAGCTGCCAGATGACTGCAGTCACCTGAGTAACCTTGTGAGTGTTAGTATAGTGGGTACTGCAAGGTTTCCTGTGTCATAACACTGAAGCAGCAGGACAGTGTCATCTATATCTTGGACTTCCTGCAGAGTCTTCTCTTGTGCTGGGTCCTAGTCAATTTTGATAGATTAACAGGTCACCCGATGAACAATTCAGGCTCTCACACCCCCAATCAGTATGTATTGTCTCTGAATTCAGAAAGGCTGGTCACTCGTGCCGCTTTTTTTGTGGTGGGCTATGCAAGGTATAGCCACTAGCATCTCACTTTGTACAGGATATCTCAGCATGTTGCAGCCACTGGACCCCAAGAAACTCAGGGGTTGTAACTCTCCCTTATACCTCCATAGATTCTTTTACCACATTCTGGCATGCATGTATCTTACTAACCTGTCTAGGGTACTTGCTACTTCTTGCTCACTAAATACATTCCCATGATGTCCTTAATATCATGCAACTTGACCAGCATGATGTTCTAATGGGAAATCAAAACAGCCTGTGTCCCTTTGTGCTGTGACAGGACAGTTGACAGCTTGCAGGGAAGGTGGTGAAAAATGTTTTATTGTTCTTGCCAGATAAAGTCAAGTTAATTCTTATCACCATTGCTGATTGGAATTGAAAATAACATTTGCCAGGTCAGTAGCTGCGTATTAGGTATTAACTATATCTATCTGTTTCAACAAATCAAGACAATGGAATCTATTTTTTTTTTTCAGTAAGCAACTATAATTTCACATGAACTAACTAATGAGACTGTAATTTCAAGGAGCTAGTTTTACATTTTACAGATACTATAATTTCATTTGCCATTGATGGATCCAGGTCATAGTTTATCCCTTGGTCTATATAAGTCCCCTATTCTGATCAATGGACCATGCTGGTATTTTGAGTCCTCAGGGTTAATGTCAGTTCAGAGTCAGTAAATAAAACTCCTGCAAAGCCTGGCTATTTCCCCTAACCAGGGCATAGTCATCATGCCCTGGTTAAAGGACACAGGACACTATGGAGGAGGCTCCAGGGGAAGATCTGAAGCATATTCCTGTGGTTGCATGGCATGGTCCTTCCTGGAGAGGACTCTCTCACTCCTCAATGAAAAGGCGGCAAGCTTTTGAACTAAGTCGGGTGTAGGAACCACGTAAGGGGCTGTGAGTCCTCGTGGTGAGTGCATCAGTTTCTGCACACCACAGGCTGCAATTTTCTTGACTAGCCTGCTCATCTAGTTCATTCCTAGGGACTCTGTGATCAGTTAAATACCACCAAGGATCTCTGTAAGTGAAGGGATTTTGTTTTTCACTCTGTTCTTGTGGTGTCTTCTGATAATTGTGCTCACCTGTCTCTGAGAGTCAAGGGTTACATCTGTCTTCTGTCACTTCAGGATTCCATAATTTCCAGTCAAAGCAAGGAATCGTGTTTACAAACTTTTTTAAAATAAGTTTTATTGTTCTTCCAACTTTAATTTTAGGTTCAGAGGTACATGTGCAGGTTTGTTACATGTGTAAATTGCGTGTCACTGGGGTTCTATGTACAAATTATTTCATCACCCAGGTAGAGTGAGCATAGTACCTGAGAAGTAGTTTTTCAGTCCTCTCCCTCCTCCCACCCTCCACCTTCAAGTAAGTTCTGGTTCTACTGTGCTCCTTTTTGCATCCATGTGTACTCAGTGTTTAGCCTCCACTCGTAAGCGAGAATATGTGGTATTTGGTTTTCTGTTCCTGTGTTAATCTGTTTAGGATAATGGCCTCCAGCTGCACCCATGTTGCTGCAAAGGATGCAATTTCATTGTTTTTATGGCTGCATAGTCAAATTTTCTTTATCTAGTCCACCACTGATGGGTATCTAGGTTGATTCCATGTCTTTGCTATTGTGACAAGTGCTGCAATGCATATATGTGTGCATGTGTCTTTATGGTAGAATGATTTATATTCCCTTGGGCATATACTTAGTAATGGGACTGCTGGGTCAAATGGAAGTTCTGTTTTAGGTTTCTTGAGAAATCACATTGCTTTCCACAGTGGTTGAACTAACGTACATTCTCGCCAGCAATGTATAAGCATTCTCTTTCCTCTGCAACCTTGCTAACATCTGTTATTTTCTGACTTTTTAATAATAGTCATTCTGATTAGTGTGACATGATATGTCACTTGTTGTTTTGACTTTCATTTCTCTAATTATCAGTTTCTAATATGCTTCCTGGCCACATGTATATTTTATTTTGAGAAGTGCCTGTTCATGTCATTGCCCATTTTTTAATGGGGTTGTTTTTTTGCTTGTTGAATTGTTTAAGCTCCTTACAGAGTCCACATATTAGACCTTTGTTGGTGTATAGTTTGCAAATATTTTCTCCCATTCTGTAGGTGCCTGTTTATTGGTTGATAGTTTCTTTTGCTGTGCAGAAGTCTTTAGTTTAATCAAGTCCCCCTTCTTAATTTTTGTTTTTGTTGCAATTGCTTTTGGAGTCCTCATCATGAAAAAATTCCTCATCTTTGCCAAGGCAAAGATGTCTAGAATGGCATGTCCTGGGTTTTCTTCTAAGGTATTTATCATTTTAAGTTTTACATTTAGGTCTTTAATCCATCTTGGATTGATTGATGCAAAAAGTTCAGTTTCAGTCTTCTGCATATGGGTAGCCAGTTATCCCAGCACCATAGATAGAGAATCCTTTTCTCATTGCTTGTTATTGTTGAATGTCAAAGATTAGATGGTTATAGGCATGTGGCTTTATTTCTGAGTTTTCTAACCTGTTCCATTGGTCTACATGTTTGTTTTTGTACCAGTACCATGCTGTTTTGGTTATTGTAGCCTTGTAGTATAGTTTGCAGACAGGTAGTGTGAGGCCTCTTGCTTTCTTCTTTTTGCTTAGGATTGCTTTGGCTATTTGGGCTCTTTTTTGATTCCATATGAATTTTAGAATAGTTTTTTTCTAATTCTTTGAAAAACTGACATTGGTAGTTTGGTAGGAATAGTGCTGAATCTGTAAATTGCTTTGAGCCATATGGCGCTTTTAACAATATTGAGTCTTTCTATCCATGAGTATGGAATGGGTTTTCATTTGTTTGTGTCATCTCTGATTTCTTTGCTCAGTGTTGTAATTCTCCTTGTAGAGATTTTTCACCTCCATGGTTAGCTGTATTCCTGGGCATTTTGTTCTTTTTATGTCTATTTTGGATGGTATTGTCTTCTTGATTTGGCTCTAGGCTTGGCTGTTGCTGGTGTATTGGAATGCTAGTGATTTTTTACATTGATTTTGTATCCTGAAACTTTACTGAAGTTGCTTATCAGATTTAGGAGCCTTTGCGCAGAAACTATGGGTGTTTTAGGTATATTTCATATCATCTGTGAAGAGAGATAGTTTGATTTCCTCTCTTCCAGTTTGGATGCCTTTTATTTCTTTCTCTTGCCTAATTGCTCTGGCTAGGACTTCCAGTGCTATTGAATAGGAGTGGTGAGACTGGGCATGCTTGTCTTGTTCCAGTTCTTCGAGGAAAGGCTTTCAGCTTTTCCTCATTCAGTATGATGTTAGTTGTGGCATTTAATGATTATGATTACTTTTTTTTTTTTTGACACAGATCTCTCTCTGTTGGTATGATCTTGGCTCACTGAAATCTCTGCCTCCTGGGTTCAACCAATTCTCCTACTTCAGCCTTCTGAGTAGCTGGGATTACAAGCATGTGCAACCATGCCCAGCTAAGTTTTGTAATTTTAGTAGAGATAGGGTTTTGCCATGTTGGCCAGACTGAACTCCTGACCTCAGGTGATCCACTGGCCTCAGCCTCCCTAAGTGCTGGGATTACAGGCATGAGCCACAGCACCCGACTGGTTAAAAGTAACCAGTAAAACATACTTTTAATCTTAATTTTTCTGTACCTTTATGCCATTGAACAGTTTCTACTTATACTGCTTATTTTTAGGTTTAAGTCACATTTTTTGGATCACACTGTTAAGCAGATTTAAGGAAATCAGTATGCTTATATGATATTTCTCTTCTGCTACAGTTCCTGAAGTTGTATATATTATGTTTATGTAACCATAGCATTTAACATTTGCGTCTGTTACATAATTGTGATTATCACCGTTGTTTTAGTCTTTAGTCTGTATTTAAGATTATTTTGTACTCACTGTTAGGCCTTTTGCCAAAACTCTGCTGATATTTTTATTGGGAGAAATGTCTCTGACTTTTGTGATAGACACATGTAAACTTTTTTTTTTGAGTTTTTGCTTGTAAATACCTATCTTTTGCCTTTATATTTGAATGACCTTTTGCTGGGTATACTTTTATAGGGTCTTTACTGTCTTTTCTTAAAGTTCTTTTCTAGTCATTGTTCTTTAGTCTTTTAACATTAAAACTGCTGTAAAAATTCTCAAGCCAGCCTGCTTATCTCCCCTTATCATAACATGATTTTCCTTTTTTTTCTTTCTATCATATTCTCAAGGGATTCTTTATCTTGGAAACCCAACAATTTCAGTAGAATATATCTCAGTTTAAAGCAGTGATCAATTACTCCTGAAATACAGTATACTTTCTAGTCTATTGTTTTAAATCTTTTATTTCAGGATTTTTTTTGAAGTACGTCTTTGAATTTTTTGGTGTGTATGTTCTATTTTCTTCAAGGACCACACATTTTGTGCGAGCTGAACACCTCTTCCCTTCTCCTTTTCTGTTCTTTCATAAGTATCTTGTCTGTTTTTCAAATTAAGTGTTTTCAAGCTTTTTATAGAAGTACACAGGGATGAGCCACCCACACCCACACAAGTACATCTTATGAAACAAACTGAACAGATATTTAGTCAAATTTAAGGCAAGGTACTAACTGTTTTTTTTTTTTATCTCCTCAGGTTTTCAAAATTCATTTCTGCAAATTGTAATTCCAGAGAAAATCCAAACAAATACACATGACAGTTCAGAAATGGAAAACGTAAGAGATATTTTTTTACAACCTAAATGTTTATGTGAAATTTCTTATTATATAGCTATGAAATGTGTGAAACCCATTTTGGTATGAATATAATGTCTCATATCTCTACTGATAGGAATTAAAAGCTTTGATGGTAAAAGCAAATATGTAAGTTAGAATGTTCTGTACTTTTTAAACATTTGTCATTTTCTTATGGTAAATTATTTTTAAAAGTTTACATATAGAAGAGAACGTAGAATTAAGTGTTTTATCTGACACTTTTTTTTTTTTTTGAGATGGAGTCTTACTCTGTCACCAGGCTGGAGTGCAATGGCACCATCTTTTCTCATTGCAACCTCTGCCTCCTGGGTTCCAGTGATTCTCCTGCCTCAGCCTCCCAAGTAGCTGGGACTACATGCATGCCCCACCATGCCCGACTAATTTTTGTAGTTTCAGTAGAGATGGGGTTTCACCATATTGGTCAGGCTGGTCTCGATCGCTTGACCTCATGATCTGCCTGCCTCGGCCTCCCATAGTGCTGGGATTACAGGCATGAGCCACCGCGCCTGGCCTAACTAAGTGTTTTATCTGAGTGATCTCTAGGACATCAATATGAAGAGAATAATTTTCTCCAAAATGTCAAAGGCAATATCTTTTAACTAGAGCCTCTTTCTCAATCTCTACCCCTACACCTAGCAATTCTCAGACAAGAAGAAACCTTTTATTCTATTATTTTTATTAGAAAGGGAAATAATTTGTTCATTGATTTATTTAGTAACTATTTCTCTAGACTTGCCATGTGCATAGTGGTGTCTTAGGAGATTTTAAGTAAAGAAATACAATTAAGCAAGCTTTGCTTATAAGTGACTGATCTTTAAAACATTCTATTTTTAACAGTTTTGTTGAGGTGCAATTTATAGCACCACAGAATTCACCTATTTTAAGTGTACAACTCAACAATTATTGTAGCAGTACATAAATAGAATTGTGTAAACATTACCACAGTCCAGTTGTAGAATGTTGCTCTCACCATAAAAAGATCCCTCATGCACATTTGTAGTGTTTCTCCAGCCCTTGACAACCACTGATCTGTTGTCTGTCTCTATCTATTTGCCTTCTTAGGAGCATTTTACATAAATGGCAACAAGCAATATGTAAGCTTTTGTATTAGGCTTCTTTCACTTAGGTTTATCCATAATATAGCATTTATCACATTTTAAATCTTTATTTCTTAAATGTGGATATACCACATTTTGCTTATCCATTCTCATTCTCCAGTTGATGGACTTTGGATTGTTTTCCGATACTGAGTATTATGAATAATTCTTTTATGAACATTCATGTATGGACATATATTTTCCTTTCCCTGGGTAGGTTCTTAGGAGTGAAATTGCTGGGCACATGGTAAGTTTGTGCTTCACATTTTTAGAAACTGCTACACCGTTTTCTGTAGTGACTGTACCAATTTATATGTCACATCAGCAATTTTTGAGTGTTCCAGGTTTTTCACATAGTTGTGAATGTTTGACGTTGTCTGTCTTTCGGATTAAAGCTCTTGTAGTGGGAGTGTAGTGGTATGCGGTTTTGGCTTCAATTTGCATTTCTCTAATGAACAATTATGTTGAATATTTTTCATGAGCCATTTATATGCCTCTTCTGTGGAATGGCTACTCAAATTATTCTCCTATTTTAAAATGTAGTTGCTTATTTGTTTTTGAATTCTATGAATTTATTATATATTCTGGATACAAGTTCTCTATCAGATATAATTTGTAATTATTTTCTCCCAATTTCTGGCTTCCTTTTTCATTTTTCTCAGTGATGCTTTTAGAAACACAAACATTTTTAATTTTGCTGACATTCAGCTTATCAAATTTTCTTTTTAAGGATCTTGTTTTTGGTTTTGTATCTAAGAGTTCTATTATGGACTGAATTGTAGCCCCTCAAAATTCATATGTTGAATCCCTAACCCCTAATGTGACTATATTTGGAGATAGGGCCTTATGGAGGTAATTAAGGTTATAAGAGACCATAAGGGTAGGACTTTGATTAATGTAATAAGACTGGTGTACTTGTAAGAAGAGGAGATATACCAGGGGTTCCTGCACACAAAGTGAAGGTCATGAAATGATACTGCAAGAAGGCAGCTGTCTGCAAGTCAAGAGGAGAGCCCTCATCAGATATTAGTCCTGCTGGCACCTTGATCTTGGACTTTCAGCCTCCAGAACTGTGAGAAAATACATTTTTGTTGTTTAAGCCACCTCACTTATGGCATTTTGTTTGGGTAGCCTGAGCAGAGTAATCCGATTACTCTGTATTGTATTGTATATCAGTATTGTAAAGTGGGGTCCGGCTGTAACAAATACCTAAAAATGTGGAAGTGGATTTGGAACTGGGTGAAGGGTAGAGGCTAGAAGACTGGTGAAGTGCATGCTAAGAAAAAGCCTAGATTGCCTTGAAGGAACTGTTGGTAGAAATATGGATGCTAAAGGCAATTCTAATGAGGGATCAAAAAGAAAAGACTTATACAGAAAACATTTATAGTCTTAGAAAATATACATATCATTAAACAGAATAGGACTGGTAGAAATATGAACATTAAAGGTGTTTTTGGATTGGGCACAGTGGCTCATACCTGTAATCCCAGCACTTTGGGAGGCTGAGGTGGGCAGATCACCTGAGGTCAGGAGTTTGAGACCAGCCTGACCAACATGATGAAACCCTGTCTCTACTAAAAATACAAAAATTAGCTGGCCATGGTGGCAGGCACCTGTAGTCCCAGCTACTCGGGAGGCTGAGGCAGTAGAATTGCTTGAACCCAGGAGGCAGAGATTGCAGTGAGCTAAGATCATGTCACTGCACTCTAGCCTAGGTGACAGCATGAGACTCTGTCTCAAAAAAAAAAAAAAGTGTTTCTGGTGAGGACACAGATGGAAATGAGAAATGTTATTGGAGACTGGAGGAAAGGAGGTTCTTGTTAAAAAGTGACAAAGAACTTGGCTGAATTATGTTTTAGTGTTTTGTAGAAGGTAGAAATTATGGGGACAACCTTGGATATTTAGCCATGGATATTTCTAAGCAAAATGCTGAAGATGTGGCCTGTTTTCTCATCACCGCTTATAGTAAAATGCAAAATGCAAGAGGAGAGAGGTAAATGAAAGGAATTATTAAGCAAAAAGGAAAGAGAACTTGAAGATTTGAGAAATTTTCAGGCTATTTTGCATTTTTAAAAATGAAAAATCATGTTTTGGAAAGAACACCAAAGATGTAGCTGGACAACGAGGCTATAAAGAGATTCCCTGTGATTTAATCTGCCATGTCAGCTGAAGCAAGGAACAGAGATGGGATTACATCAGCAGAAACACTGCCAGCTTGGACTGAAGGGAACAGAGAAAACTGGATTGAATGAAGGAAGGCTATTCAACTTCTGGGATTCTACAGGATAGGACAATAGAGTTGTCTGGCTTCAAACATGCATCATCCTTCAAGAAAAGAGGAGAATGACCCTGGAAGCAATTCAGAGATCATCAGGGCTGCCACTCCTGCTACAGGTCCAGTGGGCAAGGCTGCATTGTCTTTGGTTTCAGAGAGTAGGACCACCTCCTTGATTTCAGTAGGTTAGGATGTCACTGTTTATTACCTCAGGAACAAGGCTGTCACCCAGAGCTGTGGGGGCAAGACTGAGTTACAGAGCTGAGGGGATGGGGCCAGTTCCTAGGACCATGGGAGAGTTGCTGCCCAAGTGGGCCTAGCAGGGTAGAATATCCTGTCAAAGAAGTATTCTTCTACCTTAAGGTCTAATGGAATTTGTCTTGCTAGGTTTTGGACTTTGTTGGGATTGTCACCACTTACTTTCCTTTCTTTCTGGTTTCTCCTTGTTGGAATGGGAATAGCTATTCTATGCCTGTCCCACTATTGTATTTTGGAAGCACATAACTTGTCTGATCTCACAGGTTCACACCTGGAGAGGAATTTTGCCTCAGGATGAATCATAACTTGAATCTCACCCATACCTGAATTTGGTGACATTTAGATGAGATTTTGAACTTGGAATTGATGCTAGAATGACTTAAAGGCTTTGGGGCCTTTGGGATGGGATGAACATATTTTCCATGCAAGAAGGAAATGTATTGGGGGTACCATAGGAAATAATGTTATGAATTGAATTTTGCCCCCCACCACATCCATATGTTGAAAACCAAACCCCCAGTATGGAGATAGGACCTTTAAGGAGATAGAGTTAAATGTAATCATAGAGGTGTGACCTTAATCTGATTGAACTGGTGTCCTTATAAGAAGAGGAAGAGATATGAGAAGTCCTTCTCTCTCTCTCCCTGCATGCATAGAAAAAAGACCGTGTGAGAACATGGTGAGAAAAGAGATATGTGCAAGCCATAAAGAGAGGCCTCATTGGAAACCAACCTGCTGGCACATCGATCTTGGACTTCTAATATCCACAACTGTGAGAAAATAACAGTTCTGTTTTAATTTTTGTTTTGAGACAGAATCTTCCTCTGTTGCCTAGGCTGGAGTACAGTGGCGCTATCTTGGCTCACTGCAACCTCTGCCTCCCAGGTTCAAGCAATTCTCATGCATCAGTCTCCCAAGTAGCTGGAATTACAGGCATGTGCCACAATGCTTGGCTATTTTTTGATATGTTTTGGTAGAGACGGTGTTTTGCCATGTTGGCCAGGCTGGTCTCGAAATCCTTACCTCAAGTGATCTGCCTACCTTGGCTTTCTAAAGTGTTGGGATTACAGGCATGAGGCACCACACCTGGTCCTAAAATTTCTGTTGTTAATGTCACAGGCCTGTAGTATTTTGTGATGGCAACTTAAGCAGACTAATAGAAGCTCTTTACCTAACCCCAGCTCACAAAGATTTTCTTCTGTGTTTTCTACTAGCTCATGGGTCTGTGAGCCAACTTGAGTAAACTTTTGTATATGGTGTGAGGTCAGAATCTAAGTTCAGTTTTTTTTGGTTTACCTGTGGATCCAACTTTCCCACCATCGTTTGTAGAA